GAGCTGCAGTTTATAAACACTGGGCCCGTCTGCGTTATCAAACATAATAAATAGTTGTATTTTACTCAACATTGTCTGTCACAGTCTGGCAAGAAACCAAGACCGACAGACAAGAGCTGCGCTTCTCAGCTGGTTAGCAGGACAGACAGACAGAAATTCACAGCAGCTACACATTAACTGAACATTAGGCTACTGTTACTGTTACCTGCTGACATCAGACTCTGAGAGGAGCGAACACAAGTTTATGCCTGCTGTTCCTGCACTTCACTCTCACTGAGCTTCTTTCTCTTCTCGTGCCTAGAAGGATAGTCCCTCTTCATCCTCTCATTTGACACGACAGTGAGGCGGGGCCGTCCACTCTGCGCAAGACTGACTTTATTACTATCCCTGTGTAAGCCGGTGTCGCATCTGCTGGGTTAATTCGCGCAGAGTCAGCTTTATTAGTTCACATTTGTTTTTCAGTGCTGCAACCGGGGTGAGATCACTGCTATCCACTGGCCCACCGTGCCGCCCAACAATGCACCAATATATGCATATTGTTTATTGTGTCACTGTTGTTTAGTTTCAGCACATGTATTACCTGTGTGCCAGGTACTGTCTATAACCTACTGGGTTCAGTAGCTGACAGATGTTGTGCAAAGTTAACGTTAGTTACCACTGAAAGGAAGTATTTCCTGCCTGCGGGAGTGTAAGCATTCAGTGGTGACAGCGGAGCTTCGAGTTCACCAAAGTAGATGAAAAATATAACGTGGATTGTTTAATCTATCCTTTCAGTATTGTTGTTTTATCAACAAGGTTTTGCAAAGCAAGCTAACATATGGCTTCTGCCTTCTGTAGGCTAACATTATGTGTTATTGAATCAAGAATGTATAAACAAGAAACCACATTTTTTCTCTCAGTAAAGCAAACATTTAGGTAGGTAGGTAGGTTTTATTTCACAATATAACAAGTTGTAGAGTGAAATTGAGTTTTATAACTCCCTTCTGCTACATAGCAGACAGGAAACAATTAATTATAAAAATGGCAACAGAAATAAACTATCATCACTGGAGCAGTGCTGAGGATGAACTAGAGTTTAAGAGTCTGATAGTTTGGGGGGGAAAGCTGCTCTGCAATCTGGTGGTGCAGCAGCAGAAACTTCTATATCTCTTCCCAGAAGGCAGCAGGGTGAACAGGCTGTGGCTAGGTGGGAACTGTCCTTTAGTATCCTTTGGGCTCTGCAGGCACCTCACCTCACTGATATCACTGATGCTCGGGAGATGGGTACCAATGATCTTCTGTTGATCTTCTGAGTGTTTTAATCACCCGCTGCAGAACTCTCCGGTCCTGGGCTGTGCACATCCCATGTTAGTGACGTTTCCAGTCTGGATGCATTCTGTTGCTCCCCTGTAAAAGCTGACAAGGACTTGGCGTGGGAATTTGGTCTTCTTAAGCTTCCTCAAGAAATCCAGTCGTATCTTAGCTTTCTTCACCAGAGTGGAGATGTGAGACGACCATGTCAGGTTCTCTGTGATGCCGATTCCCAGGATCTTGAAACTATTCACCTGCTCCACCTCAGCTCTACTGATGCCGACAGGAGTGTGTGTCTTTATCTCCTTCTTCCTAAAATCAATGAGCAGCTCCTTGGTTTTGCTGACGTTGAGCGGTAGGTTGTTCTCTGAGCACCACTCTACAAGATTATGAATTTCCTCCCCATATGAAGTCTCATCCATGTCGGGGGATGCAGTCGTGGGTGTACAGCGTGAACAGGAGGGGGTTGAGCACACAGCCCTGGGGGGCTCCCGTGTTGAGCACTAGAGTTGTGGAGGTGAGTCCGCCAATCCGAACTGACTGGGGCCCGTTCGTGAGAAGTCCACTATCCAGTTGCAGAGTGTTGTATTTAAACCCAGAGTGCTGAGTTTGCTGATCATTTTCTTAGGGGACATTGTGTTGAACGCTGAGCTGAAATCCACAATCAGGATTCTGAAGTAGGTGGTGTTTTTCTCAAGGTGGTATATATTAATACATATAAATAGATCTGTTTTAAAGTTGAGAGTCTAACAATGTTGTAGGCAGTCAGCAATCAATGTATAAATGGATTTCTCTGAAAATACTTACTTCTTTGGAGAAGCTATAACTGGCCATATAGACTAGTAAAAACCTGGTTGGGGATAAGGTTAGGTGAGGTGTTTCTGTGTTTATTGCGAGATCTCTCTATGAAAGTGATTTGTGTTTTGGATTCTATTCGCTCATGAGTTCAAGCGAGCACGTGTACGAGCGCACGCCTGGTTGCAATCTTAAAACCGCAACATGAGTGGCCGCTGGAAATTCCATAATGCCCCTTTAATGTTAACATTAATTCCACACCCAAACTTACAGCTCCATTAAATAAATAGAAAGTTCAATTAACTTAACGTTATGTTACTGCAATTTTTGTTTCAAGATTCACCACTTATCAGATATTAATTATGAAGCAGCTGCCGGGTCAGCAGACAGACACAGCAATCCCTCAACAGCCTCTTGTAACGTTAAATTTGGTCTTATACAAGTGAACTGCACTCACCACATTCAGAGCTACAACTGAAGAGTCTGTGTAAAATGTCACATAAAATATCAGCGCTAACGTATTGCATCCAGTCCAGTCCTGAACAGTCTAATGTCAAAGCTGCAAGGAAAATTGAGATCTGGTGTCAAACTAAACATTCTCAAATCGATGACAGTCCTTCATTTCAAAATGGAGGTTTGTGGTGGTTTTCGCGGTCTGTTAATATTACTGTATTTAGATTTAGAGTAATATTTTCCCAGAATGCATTGAAAATCTACAGTAACATACTGTCCACCGCTTATACAGTTGGAAACAGTTAAAAATACAGTAATAATACTTAAAAGTATAAAAATAAATTCAGTGTATAGTCTGACGATGTTATAACTGACCATGGAGTCGATCACTTGGTCATCCATGTTACTGTTTGCAGGCCTGCATTAACCTGCAGTTAGGCCTGAGCCTCAGAGGTTTTGTAGGCCCACAATAAAAACAATAAAAATGTCTAATGACCACGTTTATCTATACTTTGCGCGACAGTAAGCATGATCGGTATGCGTACAGTAAAGGCAATGAGTCACATTATGACCTTATGAATCTTTTCTAAGGAAGATGCTCCTACCAATAGCTACGGAGTCAACACTGTAAAATCAAGATCACAGTAATAATTAGTTGATCAGCAAACACATGAATGCAGCATTGTAGACAATATTTTGTCCTTGTAATCCACGTTTCCATTGCAAATGATAGCCTTTAGATATTATTGGAAACTATTCAGAATCCCCCTCCTTAAAGGGGAAGGGGATTAGTATCATAATCATTTAATATTGCATTGCAAATAAATTTTCATACACACAAAGCGATTACAGTACTGGTCCTACCAGGCTGGACATGCATTCTGCCATAAAACGTATCCGCCCTCTATAATGCACAGATGTTAATCTGATTCCATTTATTTTGATTTTACAGTGTCACATTTTAGGGTCTAGTTCTAGCTTCCAAACAGTAACATGGATGAGCAAGTGATTAAATCCGTGGTCAGTTTTATCATTGTCAGACTATTGCAAAAAAATTTTGCTATAAGCTTGTTTTGCAAAACCTTTTTGATAAAACAACAATACTAAAAGGATAAATAAACAATCTACATGTTATATTTATCAGTTACTTTGTTGAACTCGAAGTTCCTTCACAGCTGAATGCATGCGCTCCAACTGTCGGGGGAACGCCTTCTATCTGTGGTACCTACCTTGGCACGACACCGGCCGATCAGCAGCCTCTCTGTGCTGATACTGGAAATGTGCATGTGTATTGTTGTGGGTTACAGTCAAATGTGTCGTTTGACTTTCCAACAGCCATATACAGTATGTAATTTTGGGACACTTGACAATAAACCTATTTTGTCATTTAGGTATGAGGATGTGTTGCAGCAATGAACCATAATATACAGCTACTGCATTGATGATGCAGGTGTCATGCTTAAACTCATATTTTTATTTAAAAAGAAACAATATTTTAATTCAATTGATATTCTATAACATATATCTTACTCAAAACACAAATTACTTACATTTTGATAACAAATAAGTACTTACTAGGAGTAGAAATATGCAAAAAAATATCCTCTGAGGGTATCAAAATCACCAGGATTTTTTGCAACTTACAACTCAGCAGGGACATGTCACAAATGTGTTTCAACTCAATACACATCTGACTGGCTTACAATAAAAAGTGAAATTTATATAACAAGCTGCTGCATTGGAAGAAACATCTTACAGCAAAAAAGTGATGATGTCTTTATAACAGACATTTCTCACTAATGGGCAATACACAAAGAGGAAATCAATTTGGAATTTAAAAATTGAGCATTTTATATTTAAAGTAGATCTCATGCAGATGTCTATGAAGATTCTCAGTCATCCAGGTCATAGTTATCCAACGAAGGTTAAAATGAAGGGCAACTAGACTTGGTTGAA